AATGAAATAAATATCATTCATTTGCAACTTGCAAATGAAATACCGCCCCATTATCATAACAACGACACACACATACATTGCCAAAACTAAAATGGGATACAATCCAAATCAAACTGTCAGTCTTCAAAAAATACTCCCAGATAGTCTTAAAGTAGCGAAGATCAATCCGATCTATAAATCTGGTATAAAGACGGATCCAGGAAATTATCGGCCTGTGTCGGTTTTGCCAGTGCTTTCAAAAATCCTGGAGAAAGTAATTTACAAACGACTGAATGACCACTTAACTGAAATAAATTTTTTGTGTGATCAACAGATGTTAAAATCTTACCTTGAAAACAGATACCAGGTTGTAAGGATTGGAAATTATCAAAGCAGTTCCCTACGTATAAATTGTGGAGTACCACAAGGTTAAATTCTTGGCCCGCTATTGGTTTTAGTGTATGTTAACAATATTTGTAAAGTAGAGTTACACCGCCATCTCAGTTTGTATGCAGACGACAAATGTTTGTTCTACTTTGGACAAAATATAGATGACCTTACTTTGCTTGCTCAACAAGATCTTAACACACTAAACAGATGGTTTCAGTACAACTTATAAACAATAAATACCGCCAAAACATCTTACGTAATATTTAGTGCAAAAAACAAAAAAAAATCCAACACCACACAAAATTACACATAAATGGAGAAATGCTACGCCAATCTAATCAAGAAAAATACCTTGGATTATTGCTTGATAAACATCTGTCATGGAATGGTCATTTATAAGTTATAAAAAATAAGCTTTCATCTCTAATAGGTTGTACATACGGTATGGGTCGAGGTATACCAGCAAGAGCTCGCCCTTTGATCTATAACGCGTTGGTTAAACCATACTTACTTTACATCAACTTCAACTAAAAAAAATACCATGAAACAATTATACATCTTTAACACTTATATATTAATATATAAAACCACACGTAATATGATCCATTCAAACATAATGTTTACCGCAAAAGGAAAATCACTAAAATACTCATCACGCCGCGCAGATCATGTTGTATTACCAAATATTCGCACGCACTATGTAAGAAATGCCGTAACATTTGCAGGAGCACAAATATATAATAAACTCCTTTCAAATATAAAAGATGCAAATTCGCTCAATATTTAAAAAAAAATATAAGACCACATTAAAAACCGAGACATTTTATAACTTGGACCACCGCCCAGTCAGTACTCGAAACATTGCTCCTACGCAGCTAACTTGCTACTTATATTTAATTTTAATCGACTCCACTTTTTTGGTATTATTTTGTTCTGTGTGACTTATATTTAAAATGGTATAATGTACTCATGTAAGTGATATGTATTTGTGTTAATGAGTAAATAAAGATCTTTAAACCGAAAAAGCCGCATAGTGCTGTTGCGTTTCGCATGTTTTGTGACTTAAATATCGGAAACACTTTCCACTGGAAACGAGGCATACTATGACGACGGCGATGCACCTCAATCATTTTAAATTTCTAATCGACGATAAATGGAGTTCTTTATGGGTTATAGAATTCACTTTGTAAGCTGTGTGCTCGTTTTTTGTATAAAAAAATTACGTGGTAGAGCCATACTGCAGCTATATTAGTCGGCTCGATCGGGTAAGGACCATGCTCTTACAGAATGCCAGCGTAAAATATCAGTTTAACGCTGCTGTGTTCCGTATGGTGAGTAGAGAACCGGAGACCCTTTTTACTGGAAACGGGGCATTCCATCCTAGTCCTTACGGGTGAAATCGCATCTGTATTTTGATTCGTAACCGACAATAGATGTAGATGTCTATGGGTTGCAGCAACTGCTTACCATCAGGTGGACTAGCTGTGCTCGTTTGTCACTCTTAACCTATAAAAAAGCATTACTGTTACTAATTATTGATACTATTATGTGATATCTTCGCAGATTGTAAAAAAAATTGATGACTTTTTTTATTTAATAGATTAATTACTTATACTTCAAGGGTGGTCCCATATAAATATGGAGAAAATATTTCATCCCTAAAGGTAGCAAATAAATAACTTATTTTTTTTAGCAATTTAAAGTTGAATTTTAGTTTTTGTTAAAAGTTTTAATTATAAAAATACAGAAGTGAGTACAAAATCACCGATTTGGAAAAAGAAATACTATTATCTATATATAATATATCTTAAACTGTTCCAATTCACAAATAGGAAAAAAATATCTTTTTCGAAAACCAGAAATAAAATTATTCTCTAAAAATTACGACTTCTCGAATAAAAACTACATAAACCTTCATACGTAAAAAAATCATTTTATAATATTTATTTTACATTTTCTCAAAGATTGTGTAAAGAGATATACGCAGTAAATGTATTTAATCTAGAATAACCTAGATCTATACGAGTGGCTATTTTTAGTTATAAATTATTAACGGCGCAGACAGTTCATTCAATTCAAAACCTAGCAAGCGATAACAAGTTGAGTTAGAAGTTCGTGTTTCAAAAGGTTAAATCTTTCTTGATCGCTTTCCAGTGGATATTAAGTAAGTACTTACATTATTAAACCTATTTTGTTCAGTGCAATATTGCTGTGACGTAATAAATTATTTATAAAATTCTTTTAACTATAAATGTCTTAACAATTATCTGTGAACTTTATACCGACTATTGTACACTCGTGAGCGTGACATTTTATATCTCTTTACAACTTATAGTGACTTTCTAAAATGTTAAAAAGGCTTTAGCACACAAGTCATCTGATGATAGTAAGTGGTTGCTGTGGCTCATATACATCTATATTCTACATCTATCCTCAATTAAGACTCAAAATGCAGATGTGCTGCCACCTCTGAGGATTAAAACGGAATGCCCCGTTTCCAGTAAAAGGGGTCTTAACCATAGAGCATATAATGTACTACGTACGCGTGTACCGCGCATGCACCACACTACTCTTCTCTGCGCATGCGCGAAGACATGAGTATCGAACATTTTTTGTTAGAAATAGCTGTTCTAGTACGTAAGTACATATTACTTCAATGGTCTTGACACACGAAACACAGCTGCATTTAACGCTAGTATTCTGTAGGAGCGCGTCCTTTCTCATTTTGCTGCAACCATAATCTAACTGCAACATGGCTCTACCACCTAAAGTTTTTATAACTTTAGCACATTAAATTTTTTATAAAACCGAAGTGACCACCAAACTTTAAGTCCACCTGATGATATGTAACTACTGCACTCTAAGGACCGATGCGCTGTCAACCCTGAGTACTAAGATGGAGTACCTCACAGCTTGTGATAATACTTGCTCTCATACATCTCAGACCGGAACACACCAGTGCTGGCAATGCTGTTTGGCGACAGAAATAGGTAGGTATGAGTCTTAGACAGAAAAGGAGTTTTGCCACCTATATATAATATACCCGTTACCGCTACAGCCTATTTAATTTTTCTTTTTTTTTAAACTTAACTTCCACACTAGGATTTTCTCCTGTATCGTGGGGGCAGTTTAGAAACATAAATTGCACAATGACAAACATCTGGACCCGGAGCAAATATTTGTAGGCCATACAAATAATTGTTCAGTGCGGGATTCGAGCCCGCGGCCATTAGCGTTGCAACTCAATTGCTAAACCACTGCACCACGGAGTCGTCAAAGTCCATTGCTGAACATAGGCCTCACCCACAGATTACCTCATGGGGGGATATTTTCCATAGTTGCCATGCTAGGCAACCGGGTTCCCTATGAGGAATTCGTCGCGAATCGCGTTATTAGGAAGACCCTGCTACCCATCTTCTGATTTATTTCCCTCTGTCGCCCCTTGCGACACCCACGGGATGATATGGGGTAGTGGAAATTCTTACATCGCCACTACACGTTGAATATTATATGATATACCTACAATTAATATATACAGTGTATTTCTTGAAAATAATTCAAATTTGGAAATCTAAGTTCAAGATATCGAATTTCAAACCAGCCAGTATTTTGAACCTTGGAATACTCGTAGGTAGGGAATAAATAAGCAAATAATTTAAATATACTTTTATTCGTAAGGCTGTTTTTAAATTTACAGAAGCCTTGCGTACTCTCCTAGAAAAAATTGTTCCGTACTCAAATTTCATTTTTACATTTAAATTTTACGAAACAACTCCGCAATTTTTTGGCTACAATAAGAATAAGTTGTCTCGACCGGGGAAGGCCCAGTAATAGCATGACGCTATTCTATTTGGTGAATCTATATCTACTAATATTACGAATATAAACACAGAGTGAGAGTTTTGTGAGTATGTGTATATGTGGAACCACTGCACGTATTTGAAAAAATCTCACCATTTGAAAGGTACATTATTACAGATGGATATAGGCTCGTATGCATAAATATATATTTGGCTAAAGTATACGATGATATTCGTCGCCTAAGCAGGAAAAAGTCGTGCCTCTTGAGAGCTTCCATAGCGCGCGCTGTGTCTATAGTTAAAGTTGCACGAAAATAATGTATGGCTGAATAGATCCTATTGAAATGCTCTAAAAAAGTTCCGACTAAGTAAAGCCGGGGCAGGCCGCTAGTTAATGTTAGCACAAAGAAACAGTTTATTATAAATAAATATGCACTTATAACACAATCTATATATTCAATTAATATTTGTACAGATCACTCAATATTATCTACAGTCTTTGTATTCACGATACGTAATTACACTTTGATTAGAATATAATGTATAGAATAGAATGCCTAAGAATCATGATGCAACTTCTTTTATAACATTTTCCTTTCCACTTCTCTTCCATTGCGCATGAAGAAGTGCGGACGGTGTTATAAGTAATAAAGTTGCCAACATTAATTATATAATCAGAGATAATAAAAATGAAATGTAACATAATTAAAGTTTTAGATAAAACTAGCTTAAAAATAGTATGAAATCATAAAAAATGATGAGTCGAAACGCCCATCAGAGTTTGTCAATAACTTCAGTTTTATTTTTAAAAAAAATTACAGATTGAAAAACATGGTCTTCAAAAGAGAAATATGCTCCTTATTTCCAAGGGAATATGAGCGATGGGAGTCCAATGGTATTAAATGGGTGGTACAAGACCTGCCGCCTGAAGATGACGAGAAAGCCCTAGAGATTTTCGGTACTGACTTTTGCGACGATGAAGTCCTGTGCTCTACCAGCCGTAAGTCACTTGCTAAATTACTCTACTATCCGTTACCCGTTACAGCCTGTCAAAGTCCATTGCTATACATAGGCCTCCTGCATAGACTCTCTATTAGGGTAATATTTGCCATAGCTGCCGCACTTGGTAGGTGGGTTATAAACGGCGACTGCCACCGTTGTTTTTGTAATTTTAGTTGTTAGTAGAAAGACGCTGTCGCCCATCTCCTCGTTTGTTTCCCTTACTGTTAATACACTACGACAATATGGGGTAGTGGATATTCTTGTATCGCCACAACACGACAGTTCCACTATTATAATTAATAATGAAAAATGTTGTACAACCGACTTCAATATAAATTATTAAGAATAACTCAAAAACTATTAGTCAGACTTAGAGCAAATTTATATGGGATCACATGAAAAGCACCAGCTTTCAAATAAAAAAGAATTATCGAAATCGGTTCACCCGAAACCACATAAAAAAACATAAAGTCGAATTGAGTACCTCCTCGTGTTTGAAGTCGGTAGAAAAGAAACTAGCATTATACTATGTTTAATATTGTAAGAGCTTTGCCCCTTCTCAGTCGAGTCCACTTATTCCTGCTACAGGTATTGATTTATATGTACTACGTACTAGAGAAGCTATTCCAAACAAAAATTGTGCCCTACTCTATGTCTTCGTGCATGCGCGGGAGATAGTAGAGTCGCGTATGCGCGAAGACTTTAATTTATAATATAAAAATGAATCGCTGAATGTGTTGCTAAGCGTAAATCTCGAGAGCAGCTGAACCGATTTCACTAATTCTTTTTTTATAATATTCCTTAAAGTACGAAGATGGTTCTTACGGAGAGAAAAAATTAAAAAATTGCCTGAAAAATTCTAAAAACAACACTTTTCTATATTTCCATACAAAAGATTCGTAATAATACTTAAAAGTCAATTTGAACTTTAATACCACAACATAAAGTTTAAGTGTTAGTGGAGGGGTTCCCGGAAGGCCAAACAATTGAGTGACGTTAGTATCGTATAAATATTAATGTCAATATTTGTCAATATTTATACACACTGGCAGATAGCTGATGGTATAAGGAGTAACTTGGGCTGCTTTGATTTTAGGGTTGCGCGAAAAATAACTCCACGCGGGCGAAGTCGCTGGAAACAGCTAGTTTAATATAAAATAAGATATAAATATAAAATAAGTATAAGAATTTAATATAAAATACTAATATAAAATATATATAAAAATTTAATAAAAAATACTCTTATTTTAATCTAAACAAACATATTTCTAAATAAAATGTAATAATAATTATCTTATGGAATTCACAAATCTTCAATTTATGCAATATTTAGTTTCGTGTACGGACTGCAGTACAGTTCAGTTAAACATAGTCAATGTTCGGAATGCGAAATCTAGTGCGTAGTACATATATTTCGATGGCTATAAGCGGCTACAAACGTCTACCAAGTAGAGCGCATACTATGACATTTATGGAAAGCGCCATTCATCCAAGTAACCACAGTTCTCAATATGTATAAAAACATTACGTAAGCTTGTACATAAATTAGAATGAACTAACGTCAGGATGAACAAACACCATTTAGTCTATTGTTCAATCTTTTGTGGCAAATTCAACCTCGTAATACAATACCGTTGCCCGCTATTCTTGTGCTATATTAGTAGTTTACTAAGCTTAATTACAAAGCAGAAACAAACATACTCAATTAGTAGTGACGTTGACGATATTAGTTGCACAGCTTTTTTTTTGTAGAAGTAATGATGACAAACAAGCATACAGTGCACCTTATGGTAAGTGGATACTGTGGTCCATAGACACCCATATATCTCCACGGTTGATACAAAAGCTAAAATTATAGCCTATGTACGTCCCACTTCTGAGTCAGGGCCTTCTCTCATCTCTGAGAGGATTTTAGACTACACATTGTTTACTTTTAATTTCTCAAACATGCACGTCTGCTCACCGCCAAACATGTGGTAAATCAGCACTTAACTTGCTCTTAACATTCCTTTGATGTCGGCGGGAATCAAACCCGGGTCGCTCGCTTACTGTGAAATTTACAGCGTGCGTTTAGCCCACGCAGCTACCACGGATTTCCATGATTGGGAATCGAAATGCAACGTTGTGACATCTAAGGACTCAGATGGAATAGCTCAATGTCTGTAAAAATGGTAGCCGGTGGTGGTCTCTCAACATACGAAACACAGTAGCATCATGCTGCTATTTTACACTGGTATTTGATATTCTGTGCAAGCGTATTCCTTCCTAGGTCGAACCAACCCATTCGTGCTGTAAACTTTAGTTTAGCTGTAGGAACTCTATCAAGTTAAAATTCATTGATCTTCCATTTTCTACCTACTTCAAAAAAAGGAGAAGGTTGTCAATTCGACTGTATGTTTTTTATGTGTGTAACCTCAGATTCTTTTTATAGGTGACTCGATTTTGTTGAGTCAATTTTTATTTGAAAATTAGTGCTTCTCATGTGGTCGCATATAAATTTGATCAAGATCCTTAATAATGCGTATTTAATTGACTTTGACTACATTGATGATATTCTAATTTTTTTTTATATTGAAGTTGGTTGTCCAAAATTTTTAAAGAAAATAAATCTTGAATTATTTGATTTATGTGCTTATTATAACCTATTATTTATTATATGTTATAACTAACCGGAGTTCTATACGTTAAAGGTAAGACTACACGGAATCAATCTGGGAAGTTAAAAGTATCCCTAGACTCTATAGAGCCCATACACTCAAAAGCAGCCTGATGAACTGTTATAACTGTTGAATAGCATATTAAACTTATTTCTTGCGCTCACCACATTTCTGTTTATAGATATTTGTATTAAGATGATATCTGGAGAGCAAGACATTAGAATACTATTATTTGAAGGTTTGTTCTTCTTCTAGGTTTTAACAAATCTAATGACGTCGCGCCAATTCCCTTGTTTCTTTCTCAATGAATGGAACGTCTGAGGGATTCGTAATTCAACTAGTCTCCTTTTGTTACTTCAGAATGTAAAAGTACTATATTATTTTTAGTTCTTTGAAGTTGGTATCGGTTTTTATTTTATGTTAAAAGTTTTTGTTTTTTTATTTTTTATAATCGTTAAATTTCTTTGTCGGCTGTCTACGATAACGTCGGTAAAACTGGGTCATTTTAGTAGTTTTACAATATTAAATTTAAAATACGTAATTAATTAAAAAAGACCAATATATACGACATAGCAGTGGTGGATATAGATTGTATCGTAAAAAATAATTACTCTATAGTCCGTTCGCGTTAAGAAAATAGTGAGTCATCAGTGCAACTACAGGGTAAAGGTGTATTCACAGTGAAGTAAAAATTCTTTTTTTTTTCAAACATTTAATTAAGTTTAATGGCAACAAATTTTCTTAAAATTACTTAAATCACTAATCAGTATCGCTAGATTCTCCAGTTACATTAATTATGAAAGAATGATGTCATCCAAATTCCACATGGCATTTTCTTCGTGTATCACGTGGTCGCAGCACTTCTTCCAACGATTAGCGTCTATTAATGCTATTGCGTCATCTAATAATTTTTTTATGTCACTCATTTTGAACGTGGAGTTATTGGCACCAACATAATTTTTTATTTGGGCCCAAACCAATTCAATCGAATTAAGTTTGCAATGGTAAGGCGGTAGGCGAAGAATTGTAATGCCATTACTTTTTGCAGTCTCATCTATTAAATATTTATTTTTATATTTATTTATTTGCCTGACTTCAACTGGTCACTGTGAACTCGAATTTTAAATTTCTTGCATTTTAATTGGCTGCGGGTCTTGGCCAGGCCGGCGGACAACGATGACTCACTATTTTCTTAACGCGAACGGACTATAGTCTCTAATCTAGGGAGAAAACAAAAGCGCACGTTTGTGTGGACGAATGGACGAACACCTGTTATCCTCATAACAGTTGCAATAACTACAGAAATATTCACGCTTCAGAAATATTATTATATAAACTAGCTGTTCTCCGCGACTTCGCCCGCGTGTAATTTAGGGTTTTAATTATGTTGCGCGGAACCCTAATTCCTTTTCTAAAATATAAGTAGTCTAAGTTACTTCTTATAACATCAGCTATCTGCTAGTGAAAGTCCCATCGAAATCGGTCCAGTCGTTACGGAAATTAGCCGGAACAAACAGACAGCCAGACAGACAGACCGACAGGCAGACAAAAATTTAAGAAATTGTGTTTTTGTTATAAGTACCGTATATACTTTTTTTTATATGACATTACAAACAGACACTTCAATTTTATTTATTTGTATAGAATATAGATGAAATATTATCGCATAGATACACTCCTTATTTTCTTTGTGTTCTATCTTTCTGTTCTCTTGATTAAATAATTGTGATAAGATTGTAATTATGCTAATGTCTTTTGATTTGACTGACTGTATTGACCCAAATAATAAACAGAGATAATACGCACATCTATAGGTCGTATAATAACGTCGTATAGTGGCGGTGTTACAATATCCACTTCTTCATATTGTCCTGTGGTTGTCGTAAGAGACAACGTAGAGAGAAACAAGGCAGGAGAATTCCCCCCCCCCCCATATTGTATTGTATTTTTTTATAGGAGAGGGGGCAAACGAGCATGCGGCTCACCTGATGGTAAGTGACTACCGCCGCCCATGAACAACGGCAACACCAGGGGAACCAGGGGAATTGCAGATGCATTGCCGGCCTTTTAAAAAGGAGTAGACTCTTTTCTTGAAGGTCCCTAAGTCGTATCGGTCCGGAAAAATAGCTGATGGTAATCGATTCCACAAGGAAATCGTGTGAGGAAGAAAACATCTTCTAAATCACACAGTGGTGGACCGCCAATCATCCAGATGGTGTGGATGGTATCGGGAGTTCTGCCGCGATGTGCGTTCGTGAAATTTGGCGGCTGGGATTAATCCAAGCAATTCCGAGCAATTGGGCCAGTGAGTCGTCCTCCCTGTGCAGAGATGGTAGTGATAGCTTACAGAATTTCCATTGGACAGCCTTGGCGAGAAACCAGAATGCACGGGTTCCCGAAGGAAGGCGAACTAGTTTCTCGCCAATTCTGCCTATGGTCTCTGACTTTGCCTTGGCAATAACTCTTTTGAAGGACCTGGAGGCGAAGTTATACTTCTTTTTAAGTATGGTGGTGTTTACACCCCGAGTCGCCGAAGCCGCAGCCCAGGCTTGATAACACTCCTGCTTACTGCGTAATGTAGTCTTACAGGAGCGACCAAACCAAGGCTGAGATCTGCCTCCGATGGGTACCACAGATGATGGAATAAATAGTTCCATTCCCTGTAGCATCACATCAGTGACAGAGTCAGCAACAGCGCTGGGATCATCCGGCGAGAAGCAAATCCACCCCATGGGTAGGATGCAAAGAAAGACCGCATTCCGTCCCAATCCGCCGACCTGTAATGCCAAATACGGCGGCAACCTGCAGAACGCAACCGCGAGGGGAGCGTGAGTGGCACCACACTCCGGATCAGACAATGGTCCGAATAGCCGAGAGGGGCATCGACGGAAACCTGATATCCGTCCGGATGAGAGGTCAGCAGAAGGTGTATGATCCTCCACATCTGGAATCCGCGTAGGCGAAGTAACCAGTTGTGTCAGACCATATGCCAAAGCAAAGTCATAAACAGATCTCCCCGCATGATCGGTTAAACGTGAACCGAGCCATTCGGCGTGGTGGGCGTTAAAGTCGCCAAGAATCACGATCTCTGCGGATGGGACCTGCTGTAGCAAGGAATCTGTAGCCATTTGGACGTGGTCGATGAGTCGGTCTGTTTCGGCATTACCGCTATGGGACCTATAGAGGCACCTGTAGACGCGCGGATGGTCGTCGCTGTCTACGAGTATTGTATATTTTATAGTAAATATATATTAATGCAGTTATTTCGATAATGCAGACACACACTTTAATTTTATTTATATGAATAGGATCGATTAATTAACAATATTTTACAGGTTTGAGTAGCAATCCCAAAAGCCTTCAAGGTATTTTAGATTTCTGGCGACACTGTATAACACAGCGCACGAGTCTCGCTTGCTACGCAGAAGAAAACGGCGTCAGAAGTCTCGTTGCCGTTAATGTGTGCGTCCCTGAACAGAAAGGAGAAACCGATAATAACGTTGAGGTATGCCAGTGACTTAACGTGTGGTGGTGACGTAAGAGAATCCATTTCTCCATTTTGTCACGTGGATGTTGTATGACGCTTCCGATAGATGGCGTTGTAACCAATTTGTTTACGCCAAGGTCAATAAATCAGACCGGCGGCGGAAAACAATGTCCAAGATGCGAGATAGCTCATATTCATATTGTTAATCTGCCTTCCAAGCGTGACGATTAAGGCTCATCCTTCTAATAACAGGTGAGGCCCCTATCCAATAGTGGAATTTAGTGAGCTGGTGAATATTAAGAAAAATAGTAGCAGTACTAATCATGCAATTATTCACAGGTTCCTTTATTAACAACTAGATTTTACTTGAGGCTCCGTTCGCGTTTATTTAAAATCCGGCGAATTATTTATTACTGAAACTACAACACACTTCTCCAGACTACATTAAAATATTTCTTTCACTCATCGAAAACCTTTCGGCCTTAGAAACACGATGGACAAGCTACGTAGAGCTGACCATGGTAAAAATATACCGTACCGAAGGGTAATTCCGCTACTTTTAATACCGCATCTGCACGCTTGGCACTGGCCGCAAACTCTCACACGTTTGGCTTGACTTTGGGGATCAAACGTCGCCATCCACATTCCACACGCTGAGTGCGTTAGTTTGTTCTGAAGAAGCAAGCATCACGGACATCGAGGTTGTTGTGTCGGTTATAACGTTTGACTTAAGTTATTTTTACTATAAATACAAGAAAACAAGTGAAAGTAAACGAAAAATACGGCAACATAGATGGTGGATGTTAAAAATTCATAAAAGCCGTACCAGGTAATTATGAAATTATTTTATTATAGGTACTTATTTTCGCCACCCGCGCAGAAACGAGACTGATTGGCACAAACGTGTGAACGAGTCATAAACACTTGCGGCAAATTTCCTTTGATTTGTGACAAAAAAACCGACACCGATCCGATTTGCTATGAGCGCTCGCAAACGTACGCAAAGAAAGTCAAACACTATCCACACCTTTGAATTTGTGACGGCTTGTTGAGATTTGCCAAGCGTGCGGACATGGCATAAAGTTTGAGCCTGAGATTTGTTAATTGTTTTGAAAATATTACATTCGATGGGAATTAAAATCTTTCCTTGTAATTTGTATTGCGGACTTTTTGCGGAATAAGAAATCCAATTCGTCCAAGTAAATTTTATAGTCTACTTATAATAGTTCATGCAAAGCATGCCAAGAAATAAAAGTTTTATTACTGAATTTTTGGCACCATGGACTAAAAAAACTGTAATGTCCTATTCTGGCTTATTATCTATAATGTTTCCAAGTTTCTTTAAAATCCGTGCAGTAGTTTTTCCGAGATTGAGCCATAAACATCCAAACAAACTTTCACATTTATTTATACAATTATAGTTTATTAAAGCTGACATATTATTACAGTAAAATTGGTAAAATTCAAAATTTTGTACAACCGACGTCAATATAAATAAAATAAGAACATCATCAATTTAGACGAAGACGATTAAATATGCATTATAAATGATAACTCAAAAACTTTATGGGACCACATGAGCACCACCAGCTATCAAATAAACAAAGAATCATCAAAATCGGTTCAACTAGAAAAAAAATTGAGGTTATCACGCATAAAAAATACAGTCGAATCGAGAACCGCCTCCTTTTTTGAGGTCTGTTTGCTGTTAATATTTTAATTAGTTAACAGTCTAATTTTACGCATTTTCTGCAGCGAAACCAGTCAAATTTAATTTTGTTGAAATTCTATTTTTTATAGACGAGGTAAATGACCATGAGGCTCGCCTTATGGTAAATGACTACCGCCGCCCATTAACAACTGTAATACCAGGGGTATTTCAATCCGCCGCTAGGGTTAGGAACGCTGGTGTTTTCTAATGCTCGTTTTTTCTGCACCCATGTGGCCTTCGCGTATCGACCTCGGGCAATTCATTGTACATATAAAGTTTGAAAGTTGCGAAGGGAGGCGCGCCTTATGTTCTGGTGCGCCTTAATTGAGAAGGAGAACGGGGAGAAGTTGTCCTATCCCGAGGAGGTGCTATGGGCCATGAGGCGGCCATGTGCGAAAGCGTTATTATCCTCCCTCTCCTTTCCAACATCGGACAGCCAGTCAGTTTACTTCGCCTATCGTAAGGCATGTACCCACAGTAACAAAGGAATAGAATAATTTGTCTGCGTCTGACATTCCGACCGATTACAATTTGGATGCCTGGGTTAAGAGTGAACAGGCTCTTGTAATGCTGAAACAGTGCTATTTACCATTTAGGACTTCATCAACACTTACCACTATATGAACAAGGCCGAATTTACTAGCTATATAATGCACCCCTCAAGCTGTATGGGGTCAAATATGTATTCATACCTCCAAATTATTTTTCAACATGTTTGTCCATATGTTCTCAGATAGAAGGTGAGGAATGGCAAAATGTGTACCACGCGCTGGAGTTCGCAGAAGCTAAATGTGATCCATATGAGTACCTGAATCTGGATATGGTACTGGGCGCTTACGGATTGCTAGTGAAAAGAGAATACAGAGGAGCTAAGCTCGGGGCCAGGTTATTGAATGCAAGGTAAAATATTACGTGTGGTTAATGTTATATTATAATAACTGGGTTGTGAATAGGCAGCCATCCGTCACTTTCGTCTCGTCCAGTCTAGGTCGTGTGCCGTGTAGTAGCGGTTAAGAATATGTACTACCTCATATCTTCCCGTGGGTGTCGTAAGAGGCGACAATGGGAAACAGGCAGGAGATGGGTCGCGGCATCTTCCTGATAACAGGAATATTACAATAAAAACTGCGGTTGCCAACCTACTCGCCAAGCGTGGCAACTATGACAAATATCGCCCATTATGAAAGTTACGAACAGACGGCCCCCACTCCCCGGCGGTCCCGCTATTCTGGGCTGAAAGAAGAGATAGACAAGTTACGCTGGCATATTATAGGATTATCCGAGGTCCGAAGAGAGGGGAAGGACACGGTAATCCTTGAATCCAGCAACTTGTTCTATTACCAGGAGGGCGACTATCTGTCCGGATTTATCGTCCACAAGTCTCTCGTTAATAATGTTGTAAAGATTGAGAATGTGTCAACGAGGGTTGCGTACCTTATACTCAAAATCATCAAACGGTATTCGACGAAGGTCATACAGGTTTACGCACCAACCTTGGCACATCCCTATGAGGAGGTAGTGGAAATGTATGAGGATATATCTAGAGCCATGCATTCCTCCAAAACCCACTATACGGTGTTAATGGGAGACTTCAATGCAAAACAAGGCACAAGAGAGGACGATGAGCTGATGGTAGGGAATTTTGGAATAGGGCAAAGGAACACAAAGGGTCAGCAGCTGGCCGACTTCATGGAGAAAGAGGGACTCTTTATGATGATCTCTTTCTTCCAGAAGCAGCCCCACAGAAAGTGGACCTGGTTGAGCCCCGACGTTTTGACAAAAAATGAGATTGACTTCATTGTGAGGACCAGACGACAACTGTTCAGTGATGTCTCAGTGATCGCGAGAGTGAAAACTGGTAGCGATCACCGAATGTTTAGAGGCACACCGAACCTAAACGTTAAGTTGGTGAGGTCTCGTCTAATGAAGTCAACGCTCCGTCCCCCTTGTGCTCTAGTCCAGAGTACCGAAACCTTTCAGCTCGAGTTACAAAACCGTTCTCAGTGCCTAGAAGACTACAATGAAGTGGACGATATGAATGATAAGCTCTTGGAAACTGTCCATGCGGTCTGCGTTACTTTCTGCAAGACGCGCCGCAGAAGAACACAAAAACTCTCCAATCACACTCTTAATCTCATGGCTGTTAGACGGGAAATGACGCTGCAGTCTTCAGAAGATTTGACAGCATACAGGAACAGACAGATGTCCAAATGCATGCGGCGGGACTTACATGATTTCAATACAGCTTGTATTGGAGAAGCGATCCAGCGTAACCAAGGCTCCAAAGTCTTTGTCAGAGATCTGTCTTCCAGAAAGGGTCAGCTGTCAAAGCTGAAAACCGATGTGGCAGCATCGTTTCCAGGATACTTGAGATTTTGAGTGAGATTGAGAGGTTCTATTGTCAGCTGTACACACTATCATCCAAGAGCGAGTCTTATCCGACACTATTCCGAAGATATCTCCGACGTCAGTCTGAGCGAAATTAGATTGCCTCTCCAGCACCTTAAAAAGCAAGGAAAGCGGGTGGAAAACCGGTACTTGGAGTTTTTTAGAACCTCTTTAATTCCGTTCTACATGGTGGCACTACTCTGGAGGCGTAGCGCAGAAGTGCGGTGGTCTTATTCTTCAAGAAAGGCGACATCGCTCTTTTGAAGAACTACAGACCGATTTCCCTTCTGAGCCGCGTCTACGTACTTTTTCGAGAGTCATTACGAATCGTCTCGCACGCAGACTCGACGACTTCCAGCCTCGCGAACAAGCTGGTTTCCGAGAAGGCTTTAGTTCCATGGACCACCTACACATCTTTCGGTAAATTGTACAGAAGACAGAAGAGTACAATCTGTCACTTTGCCTTGCGTATGTGAACTATGAAAAAGCCTTTGATTTCGTCGAAATTTGGGCGGTGCTACAGTCCCTTCAGCGGTGCCAAGTTGACTGTCGTTATATCGAAGTGCTGAAGTGTTTGTACAGTAGGGCTACGATGGCTATCCGAGTACGAAACCTATTCAACTGCAGTGAGGTGTAAGACAGGGTGAAGTTATATCCAAGAAACTCTTCACCGCTGCATTGGAAAACGTTTTCTAGCTACTGAACTGAAAAGGATACGGTATTAACATAAATGCCAAGTACTCATCTTCGATTTGCCGACGATATAGTCCTTATAACAGAATCGCTGGAGGACCTAAGCATTATGCTTAATTACCTCAATAGTGTCTCCCAACAGATAGGTCTTAAGATGAACATGGACAAAACAAAAATCATGTTTAATGTCCATGTCATACCTATGCCGGTAGTTGTTGGAAGCACTAAGCTCGAAGTTGTTGACGAGTATGTTTACTTGAAATCGATGGATACGGGTGGCTCGGAACCATGATTTTTGGCATTCCTTGGGGGGGCCTATGTTCAGCAGTGGACTTGTGAAGGGCTGTAATGATGATGATGAGGAGGATCTAGGTCGTAGATCAACTAAGGAAAATGAAAGAATTTACCGCCTTTACACAGTAAGTACAGAAAGATAGCAAAAGACGGTTATTTCCAAGATCATATACTGACAAACCTAAGAAAGTTATTCACAAGATACTATTATAATTTATGGAAGGAAACTGAAGCAGGAGATGAACAGTCTGGCCTACTCAAAGGTACGCTAGCGGGCCAGACTGTTGATAATCATGACAAACAACGTAACCGACGGAGGACAATACGGCATGCCCGAGCACATCGTCTGCATCGATCTTGGTACTGTTTAAATGAATGGAGGTTTTGAGTTGCACCCTTACTTCTATTATCTCATTTATTTTCTAATCTCTATCTCCGACAAAGAGGGTAAGCGGTATAATGATTGGCACTTTAAGCGGATTTCTACTTGTAAGTGGTTAATTCTCGTAAATAAACAAATTTGTTATATTTTTTATTTTGTTGGATTTTAGTTTAGATAACCATAAATAAAATAATGCATTTCGTTTAAAAAGAAATGTTTAATGAAGTTAAAAATCTAATTAAACTTTTTTCTAAGGAATGTTACAATCATTGGCACTTTAGCATAGTGAATGGCACTGTAAATTAAGTGTAATCATTGGCACCATTGGAAGTCCTGAAAAGTTATACCCAGATCTTTCTAAGCTCCATCTTATCCTTCGATTTTCATCTGAAAGCGGTTTCGTTGGTCTACCATGTTTTTTTCTTTCTTTGTATACATTTATGATGTGACTTTTTTAGTAAAACCTTTCGTGTTTTCTTCGTAGAAATAGAACTTTATTTTGATATTTTAGATTAAATATTTAGAGAGTATTATAATGTCAGAGTTTTTTGCTTCATTTGTCTTGTTTCGTTTGTCAGTTTGTTTCTATATTTGGCTGACTAATTTAATTCTGCATTTTCCATTTGTGCCCAATTTTTCCATTATTTTTTTAGCTCCGGTACTTCCGAATCTTCACTTGTTAGCACAAAATAACGGCGTTGTTTACCTGCTTTTTGCTTTTTGATACGTATTTGGCAATGGAAAAAACTCTATAAATATTTTTAGGGCTTTCTAAAAGATTTTAGTTTCTTTCGACATCCACGATCACCCATTCACCTCCAACAAATTCTAAATTTGCTACCTAGTTGATGAAAAACATAAGGGTTAGGTTTCTTTCTGATACTCAACAATAATCTCTGCAGGTTGTATACGCTCTGGTACTGATAAACCATTATTAAGTGAAAGGATACAAGGCAAATTTGATACAGGTATTTCTGATTCAGCCTTTTTTATTCGTTATTCTTAAAATATTTGGTAATGCGGCGTAATGGCACGGAACGATGATTATCTACAATGGCTTGGTGTGATTTCGAGGGCATCGGACACTTTGTGTAATCCACTTTGTCTGTACTAAATGGGCACATCCCACATATCTCAAAACCATTTCAATACGGTAAAAGTCTTGCTAATATAGGCCCGCATCTGTTTTAGTAACCTTTTTGTCAAATTGTTTGTCCGTCATTCGAAGACAGGTTTACGCCACATATCTTTGGTGGGCCGAAATGTAGTTTTATCAGCTAGTTGCAATAGTCGCGTCGCATTCAGGTTAAGGGCTATAAGTATTATGGCGAGACTTGGGCAAAGTTGCTCTGTATTTAAGATAGTAAATAACCATCTCTCTAGGCACTAACTATTGAACGTCTGATCACATTTTCTATAGGGGGAAAATAATAGGTTTTACCGTCTACTCCAAAGAACAGTGATGCAAGACTTCGATTAGGCATGATCCACCTCATAGACGTTTTATTCTCCCTCTATAAAACGGTTTAGTATGTATGGGTTATTTATTCAAAAACCTCACATCATTGACATTTTTATGACATCGAAAACTGTGCCAGGAGCAGGTCGGCTTTTCAGCTTGTTAGTTTTTTTTACTTTACTTATTTAGTGGGAACTGTAAATTCGCGCGTGGAATGTTAAATGTTAGTGCGGCAGTTAATTTTTCTAAAGCGCCTGCTCTTAATAGCAGTATTCTTCATCAATTCAAAATATGAAAAAGGTCAGTCATAATCATATAGGATGACCACTTAAAGGATATAGTCATTGGCAGTGTCAAGAATAGATTTTGGACAAAAGAAAGAAAGTATAGTGATTGACATATATGCCAATGATTATGTAGTCAAACAAAGTAAAGTATAGTCATTGGCACAATTAAATAAAACCGACGCTCCTATTTCACAACGATAAAATAACAAGTAATATGCTTTAATGACGTAAATTGATAAAAATAGACAGAAATTTGTGTATAAACTTACCTAAAATCACATTTTTGTCTCAAAATCTAGCCACAAAACCGTAACTTTTTGTTAAATTTTAACGGATTTGTCCGCACACGTTTTTAAAACAGCCCTTATAGGAAAATAGTTGACGCTTTAAATATAAATGTGTATTGTTAGTATAAGTAATTATATATCTTAGCAATATATGTGTAGCTGTGATATAGAAAATGGAAAACATTCTTAATATTCAGATTAAAGTAGCAAAGTAGCAATCATTGAAGGAGTGCCAAGATTAGTACTGTTTACCCAACATGTTAATGATTTTAGTGGTTTTATTATGTGTTTGATTTGCAGAGAGCCTCTTTCTAATGTCCTGGGTATAAAAGCAACGTCGACAGTTTTCACCGGTATATCGTCACAGAAGTTGGCCGCTAAATGCGGATTCACGACGATTGCGGAAGCGTCTCTCAGTGAAATGGCCGAGGCGGGTCTTAAATATCCGAAAGATGACCAAAGAACAATAAAGTTAATGGTGAAAAAATACAAATAGGATTTACTTTTGTAAAATTTGTGCAGCGGTTGTTTTGTAGTATTTCTAGACATTTTGAATTTCACTACAATTGTTGATGAATTTTATTTTTAATTGTATAATAAACAATTAAAAATAAAATGCAATATTCTTATAGTCATGTTTGTTTTATGAGAATATATGTTTATTTCCATGAAAATAAATGTTAGATATGTTATTTTGGTGGTTGGTGCCGTGTAGTGGTTGCGTAAGAGAATCCACACGATACCCCATATTATCCCGTGGATGTCGCAAAAGCGATAGAGAGAAAAGAAACAGGAAGGATAGCATCATTTTCTCTAAATGTTTGATACACATTCAACTCAAAATGGTTTTTGAAAAAAAAATAAACTGTTACCAACCCGCCTGCCCAGCTTAGCAGCTATGGCAAATACGGGGGGTATTTGATTGGGCGATCTGTGGGAGAGACTTATGTTCAACAGTAGACGTTTGAAAGGCTGTAATGAATGAACGAATGAATTGTTATGGTGTGTTTTGACCTTTACTGAACTGTAATCTGTAAACACGCAGGCAACCTGTTAAGAGGATTGTGAGGTGCCGATACGCGGCGCGAGTACGTATTTTCAAAATGCTATCTATCTGTTTCATACCGCTCGCTCCGTATCACCGCATCGTGCGATAGAAAGAGTTGCAAGTCTTGGAAGCAATTGCCTACATTTCCTTTTTGAAACATTAATTCGGGCGATAACGTATTCACCTCCCTAAACCTTTACGAAATAAGACAATTTTGGTCTCATTAGATTCAGTATCCGAAAAGGCTTAAGCACCATAGACCACATACATACCCTTCGGCAAATTGTACAGGAATCCGACGAGTACAATTTGCCACTATGTCTGGCGTATGTGGACTATGAGAAAGCCTTTGATTCCGTTGAAATTTAGGCGGTGCTGCAGTCCCTTCAGCGGTGCCAAGTGGATTGTCGTTATATCAAAGTGCTGAAATGCTTGTAGAGTAGGCCTACGATGGCCTATCCAATTGAAATCTTGGTGTAAGACCGGGTGACGTTATATCCCCGAATCTCTTCACCGCTGCATTGGAAGACGTTTTCAAGCTTCTGTACTGGAAAGGATACGGTATTAACATCAATGGCGAGTACATCACTCACCTTCGATTTGCCGACGATAAAGTCCTTATGGCAGAATCGCTGGAGGTCCTAAGCACTATGCTCAATGACCTCAATAGTGTTTCCCAACGAATAGGTCTTAAGATGAACATGGATAAAACAAAGATCATGTTTAATGTCCATGTCACACCTATGCCAGTAGTTGTTGGGAGCATTAAGCTCGAAGTTATTGACGAGTATATGACGAGTGGGACTATTTGTCCCAGGTAAACACCTGGGACAAATAGTCCGACTAGGTAAGTCCAACTTCGACCGAGAGGTCAATCGACGGATTCAACTCGGTTGGGCAGCGTTCGGGAAATTACGGCACATTTTCTCGTCAGGTATACCTCAAAACTTGAAAACGAGTCTGTACAACCAGTGCGTGTTGGCAGTGATGACCTATGGAACTGAGACGTGATATTTCACTGCTGGCCGGATGAGGAAGCTCAAGGTCACTCAGCGAGCTATGGAGAGGGCTATGTTTGGAGTTTCTCTACGTGATAAACTTAGAAATGAGGATATCCGCAGTAGAACCAGAGTGACCGACATAGCCCAACGGATTAGTAAGCTGAAGTGGCAATGGGCCGGCCATATAGCTCGAAGAACCGACAACCGATGGGGAAAAAAGGTTCTCGAGTGGCGGCCTCGTACCGGCGGATGAAGTATAGGGTGTCCCCCCACTAGATGGAGTGACGACCTGGTAAGATATGCAGGAAGTCGATTGATGCAGGTAACTCAGGACCGTGCTTTGTGGCATTTCTTGGTGGAGGCCTATGTTCAGCAGTGGACTTGTGAAGGGCTGTAATGATGATGATAGATTCAGTATTCCTTAATCTAGGTCTGTACGTTTTTTAAATAAATTAGTTTATTTTCATGAAATAAAACGCTCGAGGAAGTTTTTAGTCAAAAATATAGATATTTATATGCCAATAATTTATATGTGTAGTAAGCAATATTTTTTTTATTTAAAATATAAACGTACGGACCTAGTTTTTCATTATATTTACAACATTTTAATTTAATTGGACTATATGTACGGGGGAAACCGTTATCGCTTTTTGTATGAACATTTACAACTTCACAAATACTTTTCAAGTATTCTTAAAATGTATGACTATATAATATACTTGGTAGAGCCAAGCTGCAGCTATATTTATAGTATAGTTGTGTCAACCGGGAAAGTACCACGCTCTCACAGAATACCAGCTTAATGCTGCTGTGTTTCGTATGGTGAGTGTAGAGAACCGGAGACCCTTTTTACTGGAAAAGAGGCATTCCATCTTAGTCCTCAAGGCTGACAACGCATCTGCATTTTGATTCGCAAACGAAGATAGATGTAGATGTCTATGGGCCTCAGCAACCACTTACCATCAGGTGGACTGTGTGCTCGTTTGTCACCCTATTTTTATAAAAAAAAAATATACAAGTATATATTATATTATACAATAGTACAATGTTGTCCAACCAAAATATACCTACAACAAAACCACATTTCTCAAACAGGCAATATAAATATAATTGGCATACTATTAAATAATTATTATGAGACACGTCAAACCATTAAAAGCAAATAAAAAGCGAATTAGACGTTTCTCATACTTGTTCTTTTATGATCGTGTTCACAATTCACGAACATCGTTTATAACACTAAAGTGTATGTCAATTGATGTTTTTGTTAAAAGAAACACCGGAAATTAGCCAAACACAAATAGTGTCGTGGAGTGGCGGTGTAAGGGAATCCACTACCCAATAATCTTGGCAGAGACGTGCTGCAGCTAAATATACTGGTACTGATGTGTTTCGTAAGGCTAGTGGGGAGAATCGGAGTCCCTTTTACTGTAAACGAACCATTCCATATTTCGGCCTCAGTGGTAGCAACGCATCTGCATTTTGAATCTTGATCGAGGCTAAATGTAGACGCTCATGGGCCACAACATCCACTTACAATCAGAAGGACTGTATGTTCGTTTGTCGCCCTTATACTATTAATTAAAATCCTCCAGTGGGTGTCGTAGGAGATGACAGAGCGAAATGAAACAGATGGCCAGCACTATCTTCCTGATAACAATTCAAAACAGTATATATGCGGCAAATTGTACTCCTTGGACTTCTGTACAATTTGCCGAAGGGTATGTATGTAGTCTATGGTGCTAAAGCCTTTTCGGAAACCGGCTCGTTCGGGAGGCTGCAAATCGTCAAGTCTGCGTGCGAGACGATTCGTAATGACTCTCGTAAACAGCACGTAGACGCGACAAAGAAGGGAAATCGGTCTGTAGGTGTTCAAGAGAGCGATGTCGCCTTTCTTGAAGAACAAGACCACCGCACTTATGCACCACGCCTCCGGTGTAGAGCTACAATGGAGAACAGAATTAAAGAGCTTCTGAAGGGCTTTTAGTACCGGTTTTCCACCCACTTTCAGAAACTACGCTATAATTCCATCCTCGCCTGGGGTTTTGTCAAGGTGCTGGAATGCCATTATAATTTCGCTCATACTGACGTTTGGAATATCATCGGAATAGTGTCGGATAAGACTTGCTCTTGGATCGTTACTCACATTTGCGTTTGGCTCCAACAATGATATGTACAGCTGCCCATAGAACCTCTCAATCTCACTCAAAATCTCAGGTGTCCCGGAAACGACGCTGCCACACTCGGTGTACAGCTTCGATAGTTGGCTCTTTCTGGCAGGCAGATCTCTAGCAAAAACTTTGGAGCCCTGGTTTCGTTCGATCGCTTTTGCAATACGAGCAGTATTAAAGTTTTGTAAGTCCCGCCGCATGCATTTGGAGATATGTCTGTTCAGTTTCCTGTATGCTGTCAAATCTACTGAAGACTGCAGCTTCATTTCTCGTCTAACAGCCATGAGATTAAGCGTGTAATCGGAGAGTTTTGTGTCCTTCTGCGGCGAGTCTTGCAAAACTTAGCTCCGACAGCATGGACAGTTCCCACGAGCTTGTCATTTATATCAAACAGTTTTGTAGCTAGATCTGAAAGATTTCGGGGCTTTGGATTAGAGCACGAGGGGGACGGAGCGTTGAATTCATTAGACGTGACCACTCCAACTTAACGTTTCGGTTTAGTGTGCATCTAATCATTATGTGATCGCTGCTGGTTTTCACCTTCATGATCACTGAGACATCACTGAACAGTTGCCGTCTGGTCGTCACAATGAAATCAATCTCATTTTTTGTCAAAAAGTCGGGGCTCTACCAGGTCCACTTTCTGTGGGGCTGCTTCTGGAAGAAAGAGTTGATCATAAAGAGTCCCTCTTTCTCCATGAAGTCGGCTAGCTGATGGCCCCTTGGGTTCTTTTGCCCTATTCCAAAATTCCCTACCTTCAGCTCATCGTCCTCTCTTGTGCCTTGTTTTGCATTGAAGTCTCCCATTAACACCGTATAGTGGGTTTTGGAGGAATGCATGGCTCTAGATATATCCTCATACATTTCCTTCACCTCCTCATCCAGATGTGCCGAGGTTGGGGCGTAAACCTGTATGACCTTCAGCGAATACCGGTTGGTGATTCTGAGTTTAAGGTATGCAACCCCCGTCGACACACTCTTAATCATTACAACATTGTTAACTAGAGACTTGTGGACGATAAATCCGACACCCCCCAAGGACAGACGCTCGCTCTCCCGGTGATAGAACAAGTTGCCGGGTTCGAGGTTTACTATGTCCTTCCCCTTCTCTTTAGCGTAACTCCAGCGTAACTTGTCTATCTCTTCTTGCAGCTCCAGGATTTTCTCGTTAGTCCTCAGGGTGCGTGCGTTATATATTGCCAAGTCAAGTCGTCTTAGGTTGCCACCTAAGACGCTTGTCACCCCTATTCTTTAAAAAAAATTAACTAACTTTAAGACACGCATACATATACGCATTATTAAATCATGGATAGACGACCTGATGAAGCATACGTGGGGTCGGTAATTGAAAGTGAACATAGTGTGGTTTAGCACCGTGTCCGTGTGGTCAAGTAGTGGTATTGTAAGAATATCTACCATCCTATATCGACCCGTGGGTGTCATAACAGGT